TCTGCTGTTCCCATTTTACTGCCACCACCATGCTTTGGTGGGTGTGCGTCCCTCCGCAGAGCCCCGTCTCTTTTATAATGATTTATTATTTCTGTTTTGTTTAAAGCTTGTTGTGTCCTCGATATTGTTAAAGTCGTATTCCCCTCCACACATCAGGAATTTCCGTCACACTTGGTTGTAATCTTGTCAAATGTGTCCCCCTCTGGAGGTGCACACGAGCTACTGTGACACTCTTTCCTTTCGCAGTTGCATATCTGCCTTCTTGATCCTCATCTTCCTCAATCCTTTCAACATTAACAGTGCGTGATATCAGGGTAGTTCCCCCTCCTCTCCTGCTATTCTTATGTGAGCTGAAGATGGAAGTGAATATCCAAACCCTTTTGACATGTTTCATGTAGAAATATCACCTGTGTCCTGTCTCTTCCATAAGGAGAGGATCCTAATTGTCCACCGCCTTTACCCCTGCTGTTGGTGCCGCTTCTCTCTTCTAATGAATTGAAGCGGCTGTAACATTGCGTGTTGTACAGGAGTGGTGGCAAAAATGCCGACTGTGGAGCTGAGCGAAGCGCTCACCGAGTGGAGAAGTAATCAGAACTGTGCAGCGTGAGGCTGGCTTCATGTGCGGTGCTGTAAACACTGGTCCTCTCAGTGGATTCATATTCTTGTGTAGGGTGTTTGAAAACGTCCCTTCCTCTTCTTCCCCAAAAAGTCAGCTGCTGTTTCTCCTCAATCAGCTTGTTTTGAACACGTTGAGCGTCCCGTCAGCTCCACAGTCGCGTCCTCATTCCCCCACCTGTGGCCACTCTCTCTGGTTCTCCTTTCATTTCTTCAGTTGTTTAGTCGAGTTTGTTGCCCATTTCTTGGTGTAGAGAATTAATATCCTTTCGTAGACTGTCGTGATCCTCTTTCAGCTCCGACCTGAGCGATTCTGTAGCGCTCACCAAATCATTCGGGGCTCCAGGGTTCGTGTTAGCTTGCGTCGCAACATTGCTAGCTTTTGCTGACAAGTTGTTTATGTCTCGGGCGAATTTGGTGTTTTGTCAGTCTCCTGCATTTCCTTCCCCACTCAATCATGTATTTAACTCTAGAAGAATTGCCTATAAATGAATTTTTATCTCTCCATGTAACCTTATATATTTTAAAATTAAATAATGAAACTTCCTAACCGAAAATGGATTTAGCTACATTCTGGACAGTGTTTCTGGAACGCAGTATCTAGCGAGCTGATTGGAGACCGTTACATCCAATCAGAATATTTGCATCCAAGTCTGTAATTGGTTGGTTTTGTGGCACACTTATGACGGTGTATGGAGAGTTGAGCGTGCAGGGAGCAGAGATCTGAGCAAGAGCAAATACCAACAACTGAGCGAGAGCGGCTGTTATTGTGTGTGTGGATAATAGCAAACACTGGAATTAGAGCAAAAATATTTATCACGATATACATTTGAAAATTTGCAATAACGATATAACTGACGATATAATTGACACTATACTAATGCATTTTCACTGAAACAAGCAGCTGTTTTTTATGTG